CACACACACACACACACACACACACACACACACACACACACACACACACACACACACACACACACACACAGATAACATCAAGGAGGAAAACACTATACAGACAGAAGCAGGAGGATAAAAAGATCGCCATGACTGTTGGCAGCATTATTAATCACTTTGTTGCCCTGCCTCAACCAACGCTGATGGTTCTGCTGCAGTTCCTTGCAGTTTATATCAAGTTAGGAGCCCTAACATAAGAACATTGTTTTTAGAGCATTAAAAAACACAGCCAAGCATCCTCAAAATGTCAAATTTTGGTACAGTAGCAATTATTTAAATTAGCCAATTAAACCAAAGAAAACTAATCATTCAATTTGAGGTGAAATGGACTTACCTTGGTTATTAGGCAACAGCTGCCAGATGCCAGAGGCGCACGAGATATTGACCACCTGTCCCACCTCAGCATGATACCAGCACTGAAGGTTGTCCCAAACTGTCGGACAGCCTAACAAGGAAAGACAGTAATTACCAAACATTATAGAGTCTCAGTTAGCAGCACTAATACTTTCACAGCACAGGTGAGTAAACAGAAATATTACATATGGTCAGACCATCATCAAAACAAAAATATACTTGCTGGACAAAGACACAGTTCTTGTAGTTCTGCCTCTGCACACCATCAAATGCTTCAAGTCAAACAATTGCAATGTGACTGAAGTGCAGATTTTTAGCATTAATTCCAAAACTTTGCATTAAAAGCTTAAGAATTACAGGCTACAGATTAGAAATGACAGATTTTCGAGCTGTGTTCAAGTGCTCAAAAATTATTAGACCATTGACTAATAAGCAGTTTCATGGGCAGGGAAGACCTGATCTATGAGCAGACATAAGTAGATATAACATATAAAGTTGATCAGATTGTTGAATTTTTATTTCACTTTAATTAGTAATATTAACCCTGCTGATCTTTCATCTGCCATTTATGACCTTCCATTTATTCACAGCTCCTCATCCCCAGATGAACTTGTTTCTCACTATAATGTCAACCTCCATAACCTTCCTAACACATTTGCTCCACTTAAACACCGAACTGTCTCATTTTCCCGTTCAGCACCATGGTTTACTCTCAACCTGCGCCATCTCAAAGCTAAAGGACGCCAACTGGAATGTCTGTTCAAGAAAACCGGACTTACGATACAAGAAATGTATAACAATCATATCTTGTTGTATAACGATTGCATTGCTTCAGCCAAATTTGCATACTATTCTGGTTTAATCAGTTCTAGTGAAGGTAACTCCAGGTCTCTTTTCATTGTTTAGTAAAATTACAAAACCTCCGGACTCATTCTCCTCTCATATGAACTCTGCTGACTTTTGCAACTCTCTTATATCTTTTTTTACTGATAAAATCGCTGATATCCGCCAACTTAACTCGGTAGGAGCATCTAACTGTCAATGGTCAATGTCAGTGGTCAATAGTAACTTTATTGTCCCTAACGGGAAATTGATTTGCAGTATGTCCATACAGAAATATAAAAAACAAACAAACAAACAAACAAACAAACAAACAAACAAACACATCACATACACACAAAAAATAATATAAGCCCTGAGAAAACAACCTAAATTTTATCATTAAAGAAAGTGCAATGTGCAATGGCAACAACACTTATGGTTTAGTGTTATTAACCATGATAATAGCAGTAGGTAGAAAAGACAATCTATGTCTTCACTGCAGGCACTTTACAACGACGACCTGAAGGAAGCAGTTGAAAATCATTAAAGAGAGGATGATCTGAACACAACAAGACAGAGGTTGCCTTCCTCAGCACCTGCCTGTTAGAAAATTTCACAAGCTGGACCTGAAATCTGACCAGACACTTTAACCAGGTTGCTAAATCTGGTCTTATTATTCAAGGACATATTACCGTACCAGGCAATGATACAGAAGGTTAAAACAGATTCAATAAAACTTTTATAAAAAAGAGTCATCATTTCCGATGAAACATTAAAACCTCTCAACTCCTTAAAATGTACAGTCTTTGTTGAATCTTTTTCACTGTAGAAGCAAGATGTGACTAAAAGGACAGAGTCTTATCAAGAACAGCCCACAAATACTTATAACTGTCCACCAGTTCAATCGCTGCACCATTTACCACTGTTAGCGCAGGATGTGGGGATGTCTTCCTGAAGTCAATAACAATGTCCTTGGTTTTCAAGGTGTTGATCATTAAGAAGGACTGATCACACCACGAAACAAACTCATCCACAACAGGCCCATGGGAATCCTCTTCACCATGAAGGAGGGTTACAATGACTGTGTCATCTGCATATTTAATGAAATGCCTGTTGGCCTGTGTACTGCGACAGTCTTTAGTGTACAAAATATACAGTAGAGGAGAGAGACAACAACCTTGTGGTGAGCCAGTAGAAGAGTTCAGTTGTTTGGAAAAACAGCGGTTCACACACTGAGATCTGTCAGTTAAAAAGTCTAAAATCCAACCAACCAGTTTAAATCAAGTTTAAACTGGTTAAGAAGTTTATCAACTAAAAGATGTGGCTGGATAGTATTAAAAGCTGAAGAAAAATCAATAAATAAGAGCTGAGTATGAGCTTTAGCACCATCGAGATGGCAATAAAGGAAATTCAACAGAGTGACCACTGCATCATCAACACCTCTACGAGGCCTGTATGCAAATTGTAGTGGGTCTATAAGATTTTCTACTTGCTGCAGGATCTCCTTCCTGACAAGTTTTTCAAAGGACTTTAGGAGGCCTAAAATCATTTAATGATGTAGGTTTTGTGGTCTTAGCAACTGGAGAAATAATTGATTTTTTCCCATACCTCTGGAACCTTCTGTTGCTGAAGTGATAAAAGAAAGATGTAATAAAAAAATACTGCATAATTGCTCAGTGCATGTTCCAAGCACCTGGTCACATATACTTAAGGACCTGGACTTTTATTAGTCTTACTCATTTTAAAAAGATTTTCCACCCTTCTTTCATCAAAGAACAAAGCAGGGGAAGGGGGGCTCTGGTGCTCTCTATTAAGAAATCAAGTGTATTCCTAAAATTATAATTATCAATGAATCTCAAATAAAATCTATTCAGCTCATTGGCTAACTGAGAGTCTGAACTAAAACCAGGGAGACTTATCTTATTACAGTCACTGTAACAGTGACCAGTCATGTGTTTCATACCTGCCCAGGCCACCCTTAAGTTATTGCTACCCATCTCCGCCTCTACCTTATCCTTGTATTTTACTTTGGCTTTTTTAATTTCTGATCTGATCTCCTTCCTAATTTCTCTAACTTTCAAGATATTCCCTTCAATAAAAGCTTTTTTCCTTTCATGAATCAGCCTCATAAGACCTTTTGAAGACCATGGTTTGTTATTAGGGAAAAATGCAAAACCTTTGAAGGGATAATCATGTCTCTGCAAAAGGAGATATAGCTGCAGACAACGTCCGTGAGTTCATTAATGTCTCTACATGATTCTGTAAACACCGACCAGTCTAGCCGCACCTTTTATGGAACTGTAACATAGATCCAGAGTCATATTGAAGCGTGTGGGACAGTTCACATACTGATAAAAACTACTCAGTGTTTTCTTCACATCGCAGCGATTAAAGTCCCCAAGAACAATATTAGGGGCCTCAGGAGAGAGATTGTAGTGAGTGGATGACGTTGGAGATGGTGCCAGTCGCATTCTTAGGATTCGCTTTAGAATGGATGTAAACGACGGTGACGTTAATCTGTGGGAATTCCCTCGGCAGATAAAACGGCCTCAAAGACACAGAGAGGAACTCAATGTCAGGCAGACACACTTGTTTACGAACAGTAACGTTTTTACACCATTTCTGATTTATATACAAACACACCCCTCCTCCTTCAGATTTCTGGGTGGCTCCGGGGTGTCAATCCAGATGTATGGGAAACCCGAAACCCTTTAATTCCAGAGAAGAATCAAGGTCAGAATCCCTGTGAATGCCATTAGACATGTATCCCTGTAGTCCCGTAAATGTGCGACATTCAAATGCAGTTCATCCAATTTACTCCTCAGTGAGGAGTAAAGTGTATCGTATTTTCTTCCTCAATTGCTGACGTAGGCCTCCCTTCTTACAGCGCTTCCTTGCTCCACCAAGAGAGCTCATGACGTAATTCTGAAGGCTAGACCGTCCAATTTCACAGTCGCTCACTTCCGGCCTACTCAGCCTTCGGAGGACCCGGCCCACTTAGACCACGAAGGCTGGGTCCTCAGGTGGACACAGCCTGTGAATTTGGACACCTCTGCTGTTTCCAGCCGGACAATAATAACGGTGACATTTAACCTATTTACCCGATAAGTAAACATTGTAAAATTCAAGTTTATTGTGTATACGTATATGTATACCACTCCCCCCCAACAGCCCTTTTGAATGTCTCCCTAATTCTGAGGTCTCAAGGTTGGCAAGTATGTTATTTGGTCTCCCTAATAAGTCCCTCCATAAACTTCAACTTCTTCAGAATTCTGCAGCTCGGGTCATAACTCGTACTCTCTTAAGAGACCATATTACCCTAATTCTTCAACAGCCTCACTGGTTGCCCATAAAAGCCAGGATAAACTAAGATAAAATCTTAGTTCTCATGTTTAAGTGTATTCATAACCTTGCCCCTCCTTATCTCTGTGATCTGCTTTGTATCACCACAGTTTCCCGCTCTCTCAGATCTTCATCTGCCACTCATCTTGTTGTTCCTTCTGCTTGCCTTACCACTATGGTAAGCTTTCAGTTGCTCTGCTCCTCGGCTCTGGAACTCACTTCCTTCAGCCTTAAGAAATGGATTCTCTTCCCTTACTTAAGTCACAACTCAAAACCTACTTGTTTAACCTGGCTTACTCGCTTTAAAACTTGCTGTCAAATCGTGGGTTTTTTTGTTTGTTTTTTTAAATTTGTTGTTTGTAGTTGTATTTTGCTGGTTTCTGTATTTTAATTTATTAGAATCTATTTTAATCTACTGTTTTATTGATGCTGTTTTCTCTTTGTAGGGTGACCTTGGGTTTTAGAAAGGCGCCCTCAAATAAAATGTATCATTATTATTATTATTATTATTATCATCATCATCATCATCATCATCATCATTAGTAATTTTAAATACGAGTTCAAAAGAGATGCCTGTGCAAGTGAGAGGAGCCATCATTAGATTAAAAAAAACATGAACCATAAATCCATGAAAGAGAAAACATTTGGATTGGTCAACTCAAAAACTGATGTGTTCTTAAAAAGAATAAATGCCAACAGCATCAAAAAAGTGCATGATGATAGATGTATTTACATAGTAAAGAAAAAGCCTGCGAGTCATACAGTTGCATTCACAACTGGAAGTAATTCACTTGATCTTCATTAGTTTGAAACTGAAAGCTGGTTGTTTGTTGACTTTCCGGGCCCTGGTTGCCTTGGTAGCCCTTGGCAAAAACGTATTTACTGCCAAGTAATATCTCAGTCCATGCTGACATTGGTAATTGCTTA